TAATATTAGTGAACGTGACGAGGAAAACATTTTGAACGTGGAAAGGGCTCTGTTTGGCCTAAAACGTAAAGTTTCGACAAACCAGTTGTCCATTAAAGACTTTTTTGGTAAAAAGAAGTAACTTTGAAAGAGAAACATTCAGTTTTTTTAAAAATTTTAATGCTTTCCCGCAACTATCGTTTTCCCATATTCATCGTTTTTATTTCCCACCCCCGCCAAAAACGATGCATCGAGGTTTCACTGTATTAGGCAGGCAGAAATACATACAGCAAAGCCATTAATACCTGAGCCTAGTCCTTCTGAAGTTGAGGTTACTATTGAAAAGTTGAGAATGTGTAAATTAACTATTTATTTAACAATTTCCATTTTAGTAGAAGGGAATATTACTGTACCTGTTTATAAAGGGGGAAATAAAATATAAACTCAAAGAAACCTAAGTGTGCATTCATGTCTTATCACCAGAATGTAGCACAAAGTCATAATATAATGATAGCTAATAAATCCTTCAAGAATTTGTAAAAATTGAAATATTTATGAGCAACAGTAACATATCAAATTTGCTTTTATGTAGACATTAAAAGCAGATTCAGTTTGGGAAATGCTTGCTACCATGCAGTTCAATATATTTTATCTTTTTATCTGCTGTCTAAAAATGTAAAGAAAAAGTGAACAGAAGTATAATGTTATCTCTTGTTTTGTATCATTGTGATGCTTGGTCTCATGTTACCCTTTATTGACCATGCTTTGCATCTTATGTGCAGTCCAACTGGCTGTGCATCACACTAGCTTACTGATAAACCATTACCTCAGATTGAAAGTCCATCCAACAGCCCTGTAGTGTGGGGGTTTAAATCACCTTTTCACACATTATGAAGATTAAGGAAAGAACATAGTTTGAGGGTGTTTGAGAACTGGGTGGAAGAAAAGTTACAAGAGGTTGGAGAAAAACAGCATAATGAGGAGCATTATAATTTGTAAACCAAGTAAATATTATTAGGATGCTCAGACAAGCAGGGTTGGAAGGGCAGTGCAGAAACCGCACATGGGGAGATTGACAAAGTTTGGTTGGAAGACTGGAGCAGAAGAGACTACTTGGAAGACTTGGTCATAGATGGGAGGAATATTAAAATGGTACCTCCAGGAAATAAGAAGGTGAGCGTAGGGACTGGTGGTGGGCTCTTGTAACCATGTTATTGAATCTATTTGAGGATTTCTTAACCATCTGAACAGCTATTACCTTGTCAAGAAGAACCATGCTTCATGATGTTAGTCATAGTTTACCTTTTATTTATGTTTTACAGGCAATGCTAGTGATAACCTTGAAGCTGTCTCAGAAGCTGCATCAAATCACAGTGTTGCATCATCTCTAGAACTTGAGAATGATCAGAATGACAATCTGTCTGACATGGTTTCAGCAAATGTATCAGGTAGAGGAACACCAAATATTTCAGGTAGGCTCATTATTTAGTTAGCAGAGACTTCAGCCATTTTGTAAAACTGTCATAGTCTGAGATGAAGGTAAAGTTGTCCCTGTGCTTAAATACCAAGTCATGATTATATACAGAATGTGTGAAGGTAAAGCTCGGTGTCATTTAGATATCAACATGAGATGTAGGTTAGTGATTAGTATTATGTTTCAGTCTTTACCTTGTCAGGCAAAGAGCTTGTAAGTATCCATTTTGTCAGAAGCATTTTGGCCCCAAACCTGGTCAGTTTTTGGAGGTACAGAGAATAGTCAGAGCCAAGGTACAAGTATAATTATCTCTTCAAACTCCAATGGTGACTATATATACCACATGTTTTAATAAGCAGCAACTTTCAGTTTTTTTCCAGAGAATGTATGTTTCAGTTTAATATGATTCTTAGAGTAAACTGCAATCATTTGCTTAAACAGGATTGACAAACTAATATTTGTGAGAAGCATTGTGTTTTCTTTGTGATACAGACTGGATTTGTAAATACAGGTAAACCTTGATTTGCACCAATTCAGAATAACGTCGCTTTTGAAACCAGTAAGTCAAAAAGTGAAACAAATATATTTTACTATTATTTATAGTTAGTTTTACAATGTTTTTCGTACTGATTCTTATACTAAATCATAATTCTTACATCGATAATTTTGAATAAAAATTATAAATACAGTCACCTCTGCACTCATTGCTAAGTAGTTACGAGATAATCTCCTAAAAATCTGCCAACATTGCATAACAGTCACGTGAGCATTGGTCAATCTTTACGGTGAGTCATTTGCATTCAACCTGATAAGGGAGTAAGGAAAAATGTGCTCAGTTCGCTTCTTGTTGACACATTGAATGTGCTGAAAACTGTGTGCTAAACATGTTTGTGTTGTTGTTCGACTACTATTCTGCAGTAGCAACTGTTTTATATTTATAAATTGTAGAAGAGCCACCATGTCTGGTAAGAGAAGTGAATGTGTTGCTAAAAAGTTGCGTAGGTCTATTGCGTTAGAAGATAAGATGGACGTAATTCGTAGAATAGAAGAAGGTGATACCCATCGTAATGTGTGCAGAAGTATGAAGTTGCCTCCTTCCACTGTGACTACCATAATGAAAAATTCATATAAAATAAAACAGTCAATGCAACAGGCTACGAGAGTAGGTGCAACGCAAGTGAGTTATAGCAGAAGTAAACTTTGAGAAAGAATGGAGAAATTACTGTTGCTATGGGTGGATGACATGAACCAAAAAAACATTCCCTTGACTGAAATTGCTATCACGGATAAGGCGAAGTCAATTTTTGAGGAACTTAAGTCGTCACTGTTTGGGTGCCGGGAACGTGTGTCATTGACTTCCCATTGATTTACATTATAAAAAGAGTTTCAATTTATGCCGGTTCGTCCAGGAACGCATCCCCGGCGTAAATTGAGGTTTACCTGTAATATTTAGATGAGGTTTGGCTTCAGAGGGTTAACAATAAAAATTTTGAGCATTATAAATTAGTTGTACTGCTTTATGTGACATAACTAACATTGTTCTTTACCATTCCACATCACTTTAATATATATTTAGAAAATGGTGTGCATTGGAATATCATAATATGTAGAAGAGAATAATTACCTGGCTAATGCCTGTTGCTTGTGGAGACACTGGTATAAGTCTTCCCTACCAGTGTTAAATGAAAATCTGTTGAAGCAGAAATATTTTCGGAACACTTCTGATTTTGTTAGAAGCAGGTTTTGCTGTGTTACCTTACATAAGTTAGTTAATGTTTATAAAGCTTCTAAATTGTGCCAAGGGAAACTCTTAATTGAATGGCTGTCTTACATTTTATGTGATACTAGTAGAAGATTTTAGAATCTTGAAAGGTCTTTTGTTCTAATAGGCCGGGACACTCCTTCTTCTCAAATAACTGAAGGTGAAGAAGGGCCTGGTGGAGTTCTTAGAGGTCCAGCTGGAGAACCTCGCCAGCCATTGGACTTCCCTCCTCCACCTCCTAACAAGCAGAGTCGTTCTGACATTGATGACAAATTTGGAAAATTTGAGATTAAGAAGTTGCTGGAAGGTATTTCCTTTACTGCTTATTGTGTATTCGAATTTGTTGTGTAAATGTCTTTAATTTTGATTTAGTGTTCCCAAATTGTACTTTTTTTCACAATTAAATCTTTATCTTTGGTTCTGTAAAAGAACTATAAAATTAGAACACATTTTACAGTTTCCATATCTTACAATTTTTTAAAAGTTATATTTCAAATTAGATATCCTGTGTGCATAAACATAATGGATTTTTTGTTCTTATATGTAGAATGTATGCACCATGTTTCTGAAAGGAAAAATATGCACTTCATTTTCAAATAATTATAGTTTAGGTGTTAATAATACATAATATACATAATGATATACTGTGAAGTGTAGGCTGTTACATTTCTAGAACATTTAGTTTAGGATAATAAAAGGTGTGTTTTAAAAAACTTACTTTGTTGAGGAAACTGATAAGCTGGGAGTCAAAGTGATGTAAAGTGCCACCAATACGTGATTTACATTAACATGTGTTGCTTTCACCTTTTTGTACAACAGGAGATGAGACTGTCTCAATGGTGAGCGATACTTGGAGTACAGATGTCCTGGCAAGTGACAGTGAGACTGTGGAGCAAAGCAGTGAGCGTAACTTTCCTACTAATACAACTGATGGTGCAGTAAATCAGCTTGCTGAAACCCAAGTAAGTTACATAAAAAATAACACCATGGATTGGAATCCTTCCTCAGAAGTTGACAGTTGCTGAGCTGGTCAAGAAGTTACTGCATTTTATGGAACCTTAAGATTTATTTTTAACACTATTATTGTATATATTTTGGCATTCTAGAATGCCAACTGGTGGCAGCTTGCCATAAACAGGAAACAATTATATTGCTTTTTACCTATATCATTGTACTTTTCAAATTACATATTTTATATAACAACAAATGGGATGATAATGTTTATATTTTTAGTTGCTGGATGTGTCAGAGACAGCTTCGGAAGCATGGAGTACAGATGTCTTGGCATCAGACTCAGAACGGCTTACAGAAGTGGATACAGATGACACAGGCAGTGTTGCCAGATCAGATGATACAGCCCGCTCTGAAGTGGAGGTTGAAGGACGGGGTGAACCAGAGGGTGGGGAAGATGCTACTACATCTACAGCACGTATGTAGGATTTTGAGCATGAATAGCTATGTTAATTGGTCATACAAATTAATAATGGTTATAAAAATGCAAATGTGATATAAAGTCCTGCCATACAGAAGGAAAAAACAAACACTGTTCTTATTTATCATTTGTCACAGTATAAAAATGATTCATGTTTGTTTATGATAGCACCTCCAGTTATAGTCTTATCAACCTTCCTGGCCTCTGCCTGTATAGCAAAACAATTTATGAGTTTTTATTCTCAGTGATTGTCAGTAGATATTACCTTATGTCATGTTAAGTTTTACCACAGTCTTGATGTACATAATTATTAAATGTCTAGTTTTTTACTAGTTTAATACAACTTCAGCTATTTTGCTCTAAAATATATACAATACTTACTGTAATGAAATGCATACATGTTCATTATAATTTCTCATATAAGTCACAGATGACAGAGTGAAGCACCACAGAAATGGAGACACTTTACTTTTTTGGAAGTGAAGTTCACCCATTGATCATTTACACTGTGCTTAGTTTCTGCTTGCTTTTTTCTCTCATTAGTCAGATGAGCTGATCTTTGGTTTCATTTGGTTATTGGTCAGATGAGAAATAAATGAGTAGAGCTGAGCAGTCATTCATATCCAGTTGATTTAGATAGTGTTATAACACATGTTTTTAAAATATGTGACAAAAGAAGATTTTGGTTACTTTTTATTATGAAAAAGATATATCAGGTTCAGCATTTGATTTTATTATTACTAATTTTAGCATTGGGTGTCAACTTGGGGTTTCGGCCGATTCGTGAGGATCCTGTGGGACGAGCATCCTTCTTGGCACCTTCATCACCCACTAGGGTAGAAGGAGGATCACACCCAGCATGGAATGTAACAGGTCGTGGTGGTGGTAAAGCAGACTATCGTCGGCGTACTGTTGAATACGTGGCCAACAATCCAGCACATCGCAGCCATGTCCCCATAGATTTTAACAAACATGGTAACCTTATATTATTTAAATGTTCAATGTAAGAGATACATTTAATGTAATTTAGTTGACACTTCGTATATTATGAGTAATGATACTTATGATAATATTGTGTATCTATGGTGTGTGTCTGCTCATCCCCTTTGCTAGTGATAAGTGATTGACTTCAGTGGTAGTATGGATGTGATGGCAGAGAGAAATGTCCCCTATTGGCAACTAAATCTCTCATACTTTTTGATAAACCAAGTCATCAGCTCCTTTCTGATTTACGACCTGAAGATGCAGTTCTTGAGCAATTTTTGGGTACGTAAAACATGGGAATATGTTACATTTATAGTTTATGTGTAATTATCATCCAGGTTGTCAGAGCACAACAGAAGAAACTCGACTGATCCATGTGATTGATAAGATAGACAAACCACTGGACTTGAAACCAGCAGTGGTTGCTGCAAGTCAGGCAAGTGTGAGCATCGTTCACATCCCAGGTTCTGTGACACTGCCAGTCCTTCATAATGGTCACAATGCATCAACAGCACATCTACCACAGAATGGTGAACTAGATCCGTCACATCCGCCGCCGCTGCTCTCTAGTCATGTGGCTACAAACACTGTACCTATGGTACATATTCAGGCCAATCATGCTTCAGCACAGAGTATTGGAGTCACCAGTCACATTCACCCACATTTGCCATCAACTGCACATCATGTAGGAGATGGAAGTACTGCAAATGCAGATGCTGATCAGAAACCAGAGGTAATGAGTTATATTCTTATGTGTAATGTAGCTGCTTTCTTTTGGATTTATCTGATTTTCACAAGGGAGTATGGATTGTACTTCCAGCAGAGTCCACTCATAGAAAACAATTTTTTTATTGTTTTACCATATTAGCCCTTGAAGACCCTGTGATAACTGCATGTACTACCTGCATTAACAGTCACTAACTCTTGAGTTTTGTATTTGTGGAATTTATATGATTTTCAGTGTAAACAGGGATTATTACCTTTAAAACAGCCTTGACTAGTTTGTCTTTTTAATGATGAAATGTTATGGGGTTTTATGGACTGAATTCTTAAATATCATTTACACAGCTTCAGCTTTGAATGGTTAATAGAATAATTTATGAAGAAAATATAAATTAAATTTTGAGTGAAATTGCTGAAGTTGCAGGAATTTTAAGAACTGCTTTGTATAATGTGTCTATAAATGGTATGGATAAAACTAAATCTACCACCTCAAACTGACAATGAGATAGAGGTTTGTTTCAAATCATGCTTGCTTAGTGGCCCTGAATTTACCTTGTTTGTAGTGTATCTCCAGTGTTTGTATTATTGTGCTGTGTGTTGCACCACTTACAAAACCAATAATCTTTTTTAAATTTTGGATTATGCCATAGAAGAGTGTGAACCAAATATAACGGTGAATGTTTAGTGGTACAGCATAGCTGGTAACAGGAAGCCGACTAGACTTAGCAAGTAGTTGTAGTAGTACCATAAGTGAAATGACCTGTGTAATGAACCATGTAGTCCCCTTTTGTATATATTAAACTAAGATCCAGATTTTGTATATAATTTCATTCTGTGTTGTTTATATATGTACATGTATGTTGTATATAACCAACCACCTTTAGTAGATACAATATTCTTTATTATTTAGGACAAACATGCTTCAGTCCATGGACCATCATCAGTGTCTTCACACAGTTATTTAACAATAAGATAATTTTTAGGAAGTTTTTTTAAAGGTTGGTAATGAAAGATAACTTTTATTTTTCATGTAACTGCATTACGTTCCATAACACATTTCATTAAGCTCTGTCTAAATAATTTGTCTACAAAGCAATATGTTATCCATAGGCAGGTTATTTAATTTGGTATATTCATATCTGTTATTGAATAATCATTACATTACATTAAAATTCTTTAATCTCATCTCTCAGTTTTCATGTTACACCCATCATGTATTTTTGGTGCAGCATAAGATCTCATATGTCACATTTGCATTAACACAGATAATTTTGTGTGTTATAGCAAACTATAGAGAATGTCAGCTTACATCTGAATCGCCATGAAAACCATAGATTTTAGATAATGAGTAATTTTCACAAAATTGTGCTAGTTATGTCTTGCCCTTGAAACTTTTGTTTGGATTTTTTTATCTGTTGCTGTGTTAGTAATTGTTTACATAGTTTTTCATTGATGTTGTCTTTCATATGTGAGAATTCATTGTGGGAAATTAATAGAGATTGTTTTTTGTTCCTTCATTTCAGAACAAAATATAAGGGCATGTGACTTATACAGTGGTGTGAACTATTCATTGAGGTTTTTACTGACTTGAAGTAATATTATGGTTACTGCAGGTTATATAATGTAGCAAATTCTTTTTGTTGTTGAATTCACATTCAGATTAATACCAATTTATTTTATATTCAAAGATAGTACATAGAGACAAACTTGTAACAGATCCATGGTGAAGAAGAGGCTGACAGAGACAGTGTTGGAGATATAATTCCTAGTGTTGTACGACTCAGTTCAACCAGTCTGGCCTCAACAAGTAGCAGTGGCAGTGGTTCTGACCCCAGGCCAAAGACTGTGACTCCTACTCCAGGTATGTAATTGGAGTCATGAAAGTTGTGAAATCTGTTGAGAAAATGTGGTCTGTATTGGTTGTCACAGGTGGTGGGTGACTGTTATGCAGAAATAATACATTTATACAACATGTTGCAAGATTACTTCTGCTTAAACATGTCAGCATCATATGCTTCAGTAGATTGCTGTCTTCTGGGCTGTTGCACCATGTAGTCTGGTAGACTACATGGTGAAACAACCAAGAAGACAGCAATCTTCAGACTCACCATTGTGAAAACCTCAAATCCTATATGTATTATTAGTTTATTCTTATGATAAGACAACACTGAATTGACCCATGTTTTTCCACTTTGTGCTTGCATTACTGAAACACCTTAGAAACTAAGTTTCTAGCTTTGTTGTTAAAAATCTGATGCCTGTAGCGGATTCTTTTTAAAAGTATAATAAAATGTCACTAAAATGAAGTCAGCCTTTGAAACACTTAATTTCAAAGTACGTGTAAAATCCTTTTAATCATTTCTCTTTTTTTCACCATCTCTGGTATGGTTGATATGTGGCCGTAACCAATTTCTTAGTGTAAAAGTGGTCTGTGTGTGATACAGTTTCATTTCTTGGTGGCATCAAGTGATCATGTCTGTGGTGCCACAGAAGTATGTAAAAGAACAGTGTTCAACAGGAATATGTGTTTATAAGATTGTCATAGTAAATAATCAATTTCATTGTTTGAGTACAGTTTATGGCACTTTCAGTAACTCTAATTTTTCTTTCACCTTCTGGTCCATGAGAATATATATATCCATATGTTGTCATAATAAATAAGCAATTTCATTACATAAATTAATTGTAGTTTATATTAGGAAAGACCTAGGCAAGGAACAACCATTTTTACTTTATGTATGTGTGTGCGTGCACATGTACTTGTATGAACTTCTGAAAGTTGCAAGCAAATCAGACAGCAGTAGATTGGAGGACTGATGAACAATGATTGTTTTTCTCTCATCATTCATGTGATGAACCTTAATGTTACACAACCTCCAGTCACTCACCATTTTTTGCAACATCCATTGTGGTATGTTACAGTATCAGTATAACATTTTCTTTATAGACTTGCCACTTACTCCTACTACTTTGGTTTTAAATGGTCATGCCATGATGGCAGATGGAGAGGTCACTGTGACAAAACCACAGTCTGCAGGTTCTTCCACAGGAGCAATTCCTAAGAGCATTAGCTTTGACAAGACTGCTGAACGAGGAGATAAGGTAAAAGCATTATTTTCATCTTATCCATATAACAGGGCATGGGTGTTTATTTCTATAACTATCAGACTCTACGTGTCCTCTGTGAAATAATGTTGGTGATTTTACAGAATTTGTGTTATGTAACATGTCCTATTACATTCAGCAGAGGTAGAAGTACTTCCTAGAGTTGCCTAGACTGGCTTATATACAAATAGAAATAAATTAACTTCCCAAGTTTGCCATTATGTTGTATCCACAATGTATTTACATATACATGAAAGCTTCTCTTCTTTTGTTCTTCTGAAATATTGATAACAACCCAGAAGATTACATGGCATCACAGTTCAGAAGACCACAATCCACATTTTGAACACTATTAAAACCTTAAATCTCATTTGGTGTTTTTTTATTTTGTTTAGTTACTTCTTTCTGTAATCTTAATTATTTATGCATAATTTCTGTGGCAGAATCAATCTTCTTCAGTATGTAGGTAAACATGGGTGGAGTGCTCATGTTAACCATGTTAGCTTTCTTATCCAGCTAACACTCTGAAGAATGAAAAATGAAAAGTCTTCTCTCTTACGTTCATGGTTTAGTGGTATTTCTTACACTGGAAAAGCATAATCAATCAGATAAAATGCGTTGTTAGCCAGCTGTAGCCAGCCAGGTACTTGCCACAAGCATAAGCCTCAACTAGGTGGCTAACAATACCTGGTTGACTGGAGGTGGGTAATGATGCATTTTATCTGATAATTTCTGCTGTGTTCCAATGTGTGTTATACCACTGATTGACAGAATACAATTTATTTATTTTATCTTTTTAAAAGTGTTAGCTGGAATAACATGGTTAATATGAATGTTGCACTATACCTGGATGAACAAATAATATGTTAGAAAAAATTTATCTTCCTGCAGGATTGTAATAAGACTACAACATCTAGACAGTTTTGCATGCCAAAGGAACATTCCAGTTTTATTGTGATAAGTATATTCTGATGGTTGTGCTATTTCAGCACTGAAGTAGGTTCTTCCATGTACTGTGCACTTTGCCTGCTTTTTATCTTCACTGTTGCTTTGTTTTACTAACTCTCATTGATGCAACATGAACCTTATGAAAGTTCACCCACACATATCTCATGTGGAGAAACATTCTGTTCTCAAACATTGCAGTCAAGTAGCTGACTTCAAGATATTTCCAGTTCATCATTTACAATCTTCGTATCATTTAGTATTGTAGGCTTTATAATCAGTGATGTTGAAAAAGTTTTGTTAAATAACTCACCATTTGAAACTGTAATAGTGAGTATTAATAATTCATAAAACATTGTTGCAGTTATTAAAATTATGTTATCTTTGTTTTATTTCCAGGATCTCCTTGATGATGATCAGAAGCATAAGCGGGGTTTTTTCAGGAACTTCAAGTTGTCTTTCAAGAGTCGTAGAGTCAAGTCACTGCGAGGATCTGATGATTTCGGTAATCGATGGTATGTCCTAGAAATTTGTATCATCAGAATGTTGTTACTATCCACATGATTGGGATTTTGTTTGTTCATCAGTGATAAAGTCCTTGCCCTGTTTTGCTATGTCTTGTCTGCATGGTGATTGCTAGAAGGCACCAAACAACAGCATGACTAAATTAATAGAAAAGATTTGAGAGTCATAGCCTTTAGTTTTTAGAATCTGAATTTAATAAGTAAGAATAAAATCAGTATTTGTTTTTTGCTATGCTCTGACTTTCCATGTGCTACTTAAGAAGAAGTTAGTATACAGTCTTACTCTTTATACTAGTGTAAAACGCCCATTGAGATTCAGTGGGAATGATTTCTTTCATATCATTATCCCTCACCGTCATTCCTCCTTTACTTTATTTTATATCATTTTCTCTTTTCTCCCATATTTATTTTATTTGCCTGTCCTATCATTGCTGTCCTCTCCATTTTGTTCATAACTATCTCCTTCACTTTTTTATCCTGTGTTTCTTTCCCATTTCTTCTTATCCTTTATTTCTTTCCCTCCAAAGCATGCCATAACAGAAGGTCAATAATTTCTGCTGCGTTCTTCTTCCTAAGCTTTCACTTTATTTGAATTGTCTGACAACAAAGTCTCTCCATCTGTCTTTCTGCAGTTCTTTTTCCTTCTCATCCTCCTCAGTTTCTTCCATTGTTCTTCTTTACACCCTTTTGTTACACCTTTTGTAACATGTTGTACCTTTCTTAAGCTTGATATCCCTCTTGGGCATTTTCCTTTTTTACTTTCATTGTCAGAACCTTTTTAGGATCCCATCTTTGTTTATTTTAAAATGTGTCTGTACCATCTTATTCTGCTTTTGTTAATTTGCCTTCCAAGGTGTTTATTTTTATCTTTAAATGCTGTAATTTTCCGATGAGAGTTTAGATTCTCACACTGGCGAGTATGAAGATGACTGTCTTCTGGAATGTAGCACCATGTAGTCTAGTAGAAGTTAACTAAAATTTCAAGGTGTTTGCTGCCTAATCACCCTGAAGATGGAGGCAGTAAAATTTAAGAGTTATTGTGTGTTGGTAGAAGATATCATACTCTTTTGTCTTAGTTATGAAGCTTCTTTAACTGCAAGTGATGGGGATGTTTCTCATTTACGACTCAGGAGGGGAATGTCGGAGGATGTGCGTTCGACACACAACTGTAATGGTGAGTGTTATGTTTCCTATCATATTACTCATTAGATATAATTTATATATACAATGTTTGCTATTGTAAAAATATCAATGCTGGTATATAAATTTAAAAAAATGATTTTGTAACAAATGTCAGAATCTATGTTAATGAGTTTACAATAATTGTACCTGCTGAGCAGAGGTTAATAAATCATGTGACACTTTGTGGAAGCAAGAGACTCTTAATATGCAGACTCCTTCATTCTTGTGAACTGCAGTTTTAAATTAATGGTTACAAGCTATTTCAATTGGATTAATAATTTTGTTTCATTTAGGAAGTCAATTATTTCTGAGACAGTTGTGTGATATAGGAGGAAAGACAACAGTTAATCAATGAAAGTGTTACTGGAGCAGCATTTTGTAGACATAAAATAAGCCATTATGAAGATATGAGGGGAAGAAAGGTACATTTTTGTTGGAGAAATTAACTGAGACTAGTATGAGGAGGGTAGGTGATAAAACAAAATTTTCTTAAAATTTTCCTCTGTGAAGGTTGCTGTTTCATGTTTGAAGTCATTTCTTCATCAAATGAATGCAGTAAGTTCAATTACCACACATTGAAATGCCATTACAGATTTGCAAAATGTCATCCACTTCACCGTGAAACAAAATTATTATTAGAAGAAAATAAGTATATTTTTCTCCTTACACATCTGCATTGTAAATAGTAGTTTAATATTTGATCCTGTTTCACTGTAGATACAACCGAAGACATTCTTGCCAAATATCGCCGCAAGCCTAGTGCAGGTGGAGACTCGACAGTTTCTGAACCTGGTACAGAGTTGAAGGCACCACAACTAGTAGGTGAGGTTGAGGATGAAAGATTAAGGATGGACCCAACCAACATCGAATCGTCATATGCATTTATTGATGCCAAACGCAAACTGCGTATGGTGCTGAGCACAGCAGATCTGCAGCATGTTCCCTGGGCTACAGATGCTAGCACCCATATGGTAAGGGACTGCTTTTGCTGTAGTGTTTAGTATAAGATAGTGGTGTAGTTTCAGATGCAATAGGTAATTTGTGTTGATTAGCAACATCCACCAATCTTACTGAAATAAAAGAAGTCTCAAAACTAGATTATGTTATGTAGTGCTGATATTTGGGGAATCGTGGTTTAAGATTTCCAGTGTGTTTTAAGAGTCTTGACACATTATTTTCTTTTAGTGCTAGATTTGTGCTATTCGTTGTCATTAGCACCACAACTCTCTTAGAGTCTTGGTTTCTGTTGGTTTGTGCTATTATCACTGTTAAATACAACATAACACTCACATTTTTTCTTAAGATTATTTGAACATCTTAAACATGTGTACTGCACAGTTTTGATTTTTGTTTTTATACAATTTTCATAATGGATTTCTGCTTGTTGCAAAATATATATCATTTCTCTGTGTGGTGAAAATATATCTTATATCTTGTTCCATAAGAGGTAAATTTTGAGAACAGCTGAGTGACTGTCAGGTTTATAAAAAGGACTATATTCAGTATAGTTGGTTACTACATAATGGACTTTCATCATTGTTGGGTAAGTTTGTGGAGTATTTATTTTACCCCCAATTTGTATATTCTTCTGTCATTTCCATAGAAGGGTTTTATTGTAATGTAAAATCAAGGGTAGTTCAGGCACTTATCAGTTTAACAATTTTAATGACATGTTACTATTAGAAATGTAAATGTTTCAGAGGGAATCTCGGGTACAGAAGGAGAATGAGTTGGTCTCATTTCTCCGGTTGCAGTTAGCAGAAGCTATCAATCTTCAAGACCGCTCACTTATTGCACATTTACATGAGACACTGCGGTGCATCCAGCTCTTTGATGATAGTGGGTGAGCATATGTAACTGCAAAAATTTAAAGTTACATCAGGCAGTTTGTTATGTCATAAAAAAACCAACTTTTAACATTTTTTTAAAATCAGTGTACATTCACTTACTTACAATTTTGTGGTCATTTTTTGTCTATATTGCAAATGTAAAGGTTAAAGTAAATGGCAGATTTTAAGGTGTTTTTGAATACAAGTTGTCTGGTAAAATTCCCATAAAATTCTTCTCCAGGGAATAGTGTATTTGAACATTGAACTGAGGGCGGTCTTAAGTGGAGGTAAGTTAACATGAAACTAAAAAGGCTGGGACTGCAGGAATTTAATTTAAAATGTGGGAAACTGAGAAACACCAAATTGAATTCTAACTTGTTTCATGCTGTAAACAGAATGAACTGAATTCTGTTAGAAAACAGGATGAATACCATTTGATTGACCCAGGCATAGATGAAGGAGTTTAAAGAGGAATTCAGGACTTACTGTGTTATCAAGAATTCTCATCCAGCAAATTTAGTATGTGAAGTGTCCTAGCATACCATTGTAGATGAATGGGGGTCTGACTTATAGTGTGGGAGTTCTCAAACTGTGGCAAATTTTGTAACATCAAATTCATTAATGTGACTGCAATAAATCACTCACCTTTTTATTTAAAATTAGAGCATTAAGTTCTTATGACTTTGTATGCAGAATAGTTGGTACTTTAAACTCCTAAGAAACCTGATATGATATTTAACTTCTCATCTTCTGTGTTAGTATGCAAGGCTAATATGGTACTTGCTGTCAACAGTCATACATTGTGCAGGTTATGAGGGAGTGCACTTTTATTATATTCACTGTGAATTAATAATTAAATAAACTTGAAATAAAACATCAAATCCACAACATTTTTAAAGAAATCTGCTTAGCAGTATACATACATTATATTATTTGTATTCACATTTCATGTATGTTTGTAAGATTGTATAATTGTTAGCATTTATTCTTACAGCTGCCAGAAGCTTTTTAAGTCCCTAAAGGAAGATTACCAAAAACGGTCTCCATACATTGCCTACCTAGTGAGGTGTCGACAGGGACTGCTATCAACCTTAGCACATTTAGAAAGGTATATTATAGCGTGAATGTATTCTCTTCTGTTTGTGTGAAACTTGTAGGTCTAACAGGCAATTCTCCTGTATATTTTTTATGTACGATTTGATTATAAAAGCTTCTCATTCCTTTTAAAAGTCTTTAAGAAATTAAGAATGTTTACACATGAACATAAAAATTGGTATTCAAAGTTTCCAATATGCATGTATTTGATATCCCATTAGGCATGTTATAGTTATAGTATAAAAACTGGTGGCTCAGATACTGAAGGCTAGTTACATTCTGTAATCTCATAAAAGCAAATCAGCAGTAGTAATTCATAGATAGTTTTGACCTAAGTTTGTAACAAGCCCACCTTCAGGACTAATCAGTGTGAGTGGTTCAAGCATTTCTCACATTCTTGGATATCTGTGTGAAGGAAGAAGTTCATAGTACTAAAGATAAAGCAGACTGTGTTTGACAGATGGTGATGCATAGCCCATGAAAGTGGACAAGACTTTCATCTGGAAACGCAAACTTCCTTAGCTGATACATAACTTCGGGTTTCAGGTTTGAACCGTGTCAGGTGTTCAGTATTAACCACTATTTCAGCAAACAGTGCAGTTGACATCTTCTGTCAGAAGATGGCTGTCTTTTGGGTTGTAGAGCCGTGCAGTTTGGTAAAGTTAACCAGTGTTTCAGATGTCCTTGCTACCTCCATACTCATCACCCTGAGGTAACAAGAATCTCTGAAACTAAGTAACTTCAGAGTCTGACTTCAGAAGGCGATAGTTGCTCAGCTGATCAAAGAATTGCCTGCTGTTTATTGAACCTGTAGATATATTACCAAGTTCACAAGAGACTATTTATTATTGAAACGGAAGTAATAAAAGATAAACATCTCTGTCTGAGCCACACACCAAACCTAGTAATATGTCCTGCATACTATAAAACTTAGTATATGCATTCAAATTCTTTACAATCGAAGAAAGTGCTTAGGTAGTTTTATGACCTATATCGACTCTTGATAGCACAGTGGTATCTGTACCATCTACTTAGCATTTTGCCCACAGGGTATATATATGGGTTTCATATGATTCTTACAATATATGCTAAATAGCATTAAGCAATTGATCTTTGTGATATGGACTCATTATGTTTTCTTAGAGGCAGGAATTTAATTTTTAAGAAATACTTTAGCGAACTTTGTGCTTCAGAGGGTTAAACAGATTGCATGGCACCTGACGTAATTGTAGTCCCTTGATAATGCAGTTGTATTAAAATCATAAAGAAAACACTAATTTAAAGGCATATTAACCCTTTAAAGCTGAGTTATAACTGTATGTACCAGATGCTTTAACAGTCATTAACTCTTCATTTTTTTGATTCTGTGAGTAAACAGGGATTAAGTCCTTGAACAGCATTAACCATTTGATCTTTTTAATGGTGAAGTGCCCCCCCCCCCTCCCCCGAGTACAACACAGCTTTCAGCAGAAGGAACATGTTGGTTTTAGGCTGACTGAGAGATTGAAATGTGACCGCCAGGTGTGCAGCCGATTCTTGGTAGCTGTATGTGTAACAATGTTTCTAGAGAAGAGAGAAGAGATACTTGGCAGTTTCACTGTTGAGTTTCAACAATTGACCCTTGCTGATGAGAAAACAGATTTGCTGGATAACTTTTTGCACACACTTTCACTTGAAATGGACAAAGACCCAACATGGCAAGGTTTGTATTGCAGTATAGCATTCAGGATGTGTTGAATTGACACTGTGGGTTGTTTTTTGTTGTATAAAATCTATCAATGTTTGATATTAATATGAAAAGCAAAACACTGTATGAATTTTTTTTGTCTTTTGGAAGGTTTTTGTTTTGTATAAAGGTTTTTTTTACTTTAATTTCATGTAGAGATTGGGATTTGATATAAATTTGTTATCTGTTAAAACTAGACACAGCTTATACATGGAATTATATTTTCAGTGTGCAGAGTAAATGAAAATATATGTGTAAGACTTGAGGTTCTCACAGCGGTGAGTATGAAGATTTCTGTCTTCTGGGTTATTGCGCTGTGTAGTCTGGTCGATGTTAACCAACGTTTCAGAGGTCATACTGCCTCCGTCATCAGGGCGATGACCAGACTACACAGCGCAATAACCCAGAAGACAGAAATCTGAAAATATATGTATTTGTACTGTGTTGATTGAGCCCTGGCATGGCAAATCCTCTGGTTACAGATGGAGGGGATGGCCTCCAGATATGCATGTAACTGCAAATGTATTGAGTAAGCAGTTACAGATAACCAATAAGAAATTGTACTCCAGCTTTGTGGTTGGGCGGGGGTGTAACAACTCCACACAGTAAAACCTTGTGAAAGAGACTACTTGGGAGGTGTAGGTGGGAGAATAATATTAAATTGGATCTTAAATTTGGTGTGAGAGTGTGAAATGGATTCATCTGGTTCAAGGTACAATCCAGTGTTGGATTCTTGTGAACATGGTAGTGAACATTACGGTTCCATGAAAGACAAGGAATTTCTTGACTAGCTGAAAGATTATCAACTTCCCTGCCAGTATTGTTCCATAGTATTAGTTAATTAGATATATGTTCATATTGACTGCTGTAATTTAAACAGTTTAACTGGAGTGTGTGTGATACCAGAACATTTATTCTGGTGTTGTGTGTTTAGCTGCAAGCAGTACACAGTTAGAACAGGCACGCACTGCAGTTGAGCGGGCAGTAATCAGTCGTGTGTATACTCATGCCCTTTATCCAAATGGTGATGGAGATGTGTCCAGAGATCAGTGAGTACAAATTTGATTAAAGAAGGACAACTTTTAATTACAAATGTTAAATTGTAAGCTTAAACAGTGGTCTGTTGGATTAATTTCAGTTTCTTTCTGAGATTTTTACATTTTAATCAGAATTGTTAGTTTTAAAAATCAAATTTGATTAGTTATGATTAGATTTAGAATTAATTTATATAGAGGATGAATGAAATTAGCAATAAATTATCTTTTTGTTAATTTTTTTTAAATTGTGATTGTGCCTTTGTCTATGCCAGTTAAACATTTTAGGTTTAGAACCAAACTTTGGAGTAAACCTAATTTTGTATTAATCTTCCACATGTGCTTAAATATGATTCCCATTTGGTACTAATTTTCTTGTATAAATTTGTTATACTAGGAAATTTAAATTAAACATGTATCTTAATTAAATTTATTTTTTGTTGTAGGGTTCTTTATGAACACATGAAGAAGCTTTCTAATGTAATCACACCCAATCATAAAGATCTTCGTATTCCCAAGGTAAATTATTTCTTCCATACTTTAGTGGGAAGGCTATAACATAGAAAGTTATCTTATGATCTGTGATTGTGTAATTCTGTCTTACAAACATAAAATTGTGCTTTTTCTTCAATAGGTGTTTCATTACGAATGCCCATGGCCATCAGCACAGGCAGAAATATCAGCAATGGCTGCTTACAAAACACCATGTGATAAGCTTCAGTGTGTTTTCCGCTGTGCCACAACTATAATGAATTTGCTGTCCATGGCCAGTGGGCGAGGAGTGCCAGCTGCAGATGATTTTGTGCCTGTACTAGTCTATGTTCTTATTAAGGTACTTATTCTAGTTTTATCAGATTTGTTTTGAAGCTATGCTATTAATAAACTGTAGGGTGTGCTGCTTATTTGATGAAGGGTTACTTTCTTTCACAGTAGAAAGTTTTAAAGAAAAATAAATGTATTGTTTAGACAAAATGTTGAGGTACATGTTTCTCACATGTAAACATATCTTTTCCCCACCATCTATTCAAAGTGGCCTGTCTTAGGTCCACAGTGCTTTTCTGGTAAAACTTGCACCTAGTAATTGATTTTACTCTGTCACCACCCACTTGCCCCACAAGTGTTGTATTTTCTAACGCCATGCTCTTATTGGTATGTTTGTTGTGCTTGATAATTGATAATTTAAATTTTCATGATTAAGAAGGAATTTATGTGTCAAGAGTCTGTTTCTCTATGACCTCCCATGATCACATTGTGTGATATATTTAACTTTTTGTTTAATATTTACACTTATAGTAAACAATTTGAGAAATAAAAGTCTCAACAGTCACTACAGAACATGTCTTCTGTAACATGCAGGAATAATATATAACCATTCTCCTCACAGGCAAATCCACCTTCACTGCTGTCAACTGTTCAGTATGTAAACAGTTTCTATGGGAATCGCTTGAAAGGGGAAGAACAGTATTGGTGGATTCAGTTCTGTTCAGCCATTGAATTTATCAAGACAATGGACTACAGTGATTGAATTATGTTATTTCCTTACTGCAATAGCGTAGAGAAATAGTGAAATGCTGTTTGGATGTCCCATTGAACTTGAGGTAAGAAGCAACTTTCTACAGAACATGTGCAGTAAGGTACATGTTAATATATAGAAGCTTTAGATAGGTATTAGTTTTTATTGTCATGTTCTTAAATGTTCTATACATATATATAAACCGTTTTGCAGGTGCTGTGTAGTTCAGGTTACTCTAATCAGTGAAGTGCTGGTTATATGTGATGTGCCTATTTTCAGTCTGCTTAGCTCAGTATGTGGCCTGTTAAGTTGTACGAGGGTCGCTCATTAAGTAATGCCCCACATTTTTTTCCTCAGAACATATTTATTCAAGATGGCTCAAATTTAGTGACAATATAAATCAATGTTTCCTTTACACATACTATTTTTCCACATAGTCCCCATCAACTTGTACGGTTTTACGCCAGCGTGGAACAAGTGCAGGCATGCCTTGCCGGTACCAGCTCTTGTCCTGTCCCCGTAGCCATGTCCTCACTGCTTGAATCACGCTCTCGTCATCTTCAAATCTTGTTCCGCGGATAGCATCTTTAAGGGGCCCAAAGAGATGGAAGTCGGAGGGTGCCAGATCTGGACTGTAGGGTGGATGGGGTAGCACCGTCCAACCCAATTTGGTGATTTCTTCCCGGGTTCTCAGACTTGTGTGAGGGCGTGCATTGTCGTGCAGGAGCAAAATTTCTGCTGGATGCTTGTGAGGCCGAACTCGTCGAAAACGCTTCTTGAGGGTTTTCAGGGTCCTGATGTACGCGTCTGAATTGATGGTCGCACCTCTTGGCATCACATCCACAAGAATGACCCCATCACTGTCCCAAAAGACAGTCATCATGACTTTTCCGGCGGAGGGAGTTGTCTTGAATTTCTTCTTTCTCGGTGATTGAGGATGATGCCACTCCATTGACTGCCTTTTTGTCTCTGGCTCAAAGTGGTGTATCCAGGTTTCGTCACCTGTAATGATCCGGGACAGAAAGACCTCTCCCTCAGCATCAAAACGCTCCAACAATTCAGAAGAAATCGTTTTCCTTTGAATCCTGTGGTCTGCTGTGAGACTTCGTGGAACCCATCTTGCGCACACCTTCGAATATGCGAGAGCCTGGATAATTGCAATCACACTTCCATTGCTGACTGAAAGCTGTTGGGCCAATTGTCGAGTTGTGATGCGCCGATCCTCACGAATAATGGCATCCGCGCGGTTCAACATGTCTGGAGTGGTGGCTGTGGCAGGACGCCCAGAGCGCGGCAGATCACGGAGCTCGGTTTCTTCACTTCCTGAAGCTTTAACTCTCTTAGCCCCGCGACCAACGGTGCTCCTATCGACTGCACAGCTTCCATACACAGCACACCAACGTTTATGAATGTTCACCACCGTTTCTTTTTCAGCAACAAGGAATTCAATTACAGCTCGTTGCTTGTAACGAGAGTCGTTCACAGACGCCATTTTAACAGTTCACTACAGCTCCGCTATCGGTTGGAATCATTTGAAACTCCGTACACGACCGCGGGAAACATCAAATCTCAAGCATGTAAAAGTGCACTTTTCTATCTTCATTATTGGCTGAGAAAAAAAATGTGGGGCATTACTTAATGAGCGACCCTCGTATATTGAATGATGCACCATAGGAAACTTAAAATTGGTTCCAAATTAGTTTTCTTTGCCTGCCTCCACCCCCAAAGGGTTAATTTACTCAAAACACTCTCAAGCACTAACAGTTCACACTGCAGTAACCCAGGTGTCCAGTCAGTACTTGTAACACTGTGAAAACCTTAAATCTTACAGACAGTTTGCAACATTACAAATTATGAATACCTGTTGAAATGATAATTTTTTATAAAATTGTATAAATTCTCATCATATTGAAGTGACACTCTATTTTACCACAACTATCCAGTGATTGATGTATTTGTTGCAATTAAAGTGTGTAATTCAATTATTATTATATTATATTAACTGAGCAGTTTAAGTAATGTATGTAATGAGAAGAAAATTTTTCTCTCTAACTAGCTACTTCATACATACCTAGTTATGCTCTCAATTAGTTACTCTTTGGATTACCTAGTTAGCTTTAACTGCACTTTCAGTTAATATATGAAATAACTAGATAGCGTATAAAGTAAAAAATTAGGTACTTAAATAATAACATACAAAAATTAAGACAAGGCTAGTGAACTCAAACAATTCTCAGTGAATGTGGTGCCCAGAATATTTACACACAGCGAAGAAAAATGAGATGAATGTTTAAGATGAAAATTTATTGGTATTAGTTATCTAATCAGATATTTCCTGTAAAGAATGAGAAAGTTATATTATTATAACAGTGCAATTATGTTATAAAACGCTTTGTTTACTGGTCAGTTTGTAATGAAGTATGTCTATTATATAGTATTTGTGTGAATATAAGCCGCATTTGAATTTAAAGAAAGGAATGAAAAGCAGATACAATCTTATTTAAGTTCAAAACATTGGTTGTGATGATTTTGTCACAACCATTCACATTGGCCTGCCAAACAAAGAAATTTACCTCATTATTTTGTGTTGTTTCATTTAACCATTCTTATGTGAAAACACATTTTCATATTTACTATCATTGAAATATTTGGATTGATTTTCTTTCTCAAAAATCATAATGCAACATTTCCTGATTAACCGTTGTAGAGGATATGCGGGGGATATATGAAAAATCTGGCCATGTGCCACCAGAAAGTCAGAGTTTCATTCAGAAGCAAAAATGAGTTCCATTTGTTGTTATTATTATTATTATTAAATATAAGAACTGTTTTATATAATCTGTTTTTCTGTTTGTCCAGACCTTTATACTACTGAGTCCTCCAATAGTTTCTTTCCAAGAATTCAGGAAACTAGATTTTCTGAAAAATCATTTATTTAATTAAAAGGAAGAAAGGAAGTGCTTAAGAAAGGTTGTTAAGGTGAGGGCAACCTAATACATGTTGTATTTAACATAAATAGAATATGAGGGCTGAATCTTTTAACAGCTACAGGCTTTCATCCTCTTGTATATGTTCTAAGAACTGTTGTGCCAGTAAATGCTTTACTTTTTTTATTTCTGAAGAGTAAATACATACTATTAATTCTGTTGCAGTTTTCTCAACGTTTCCCATGAATTTGGCCTGCATTTGGAGTGGAAAGTGGGGGCCTTTGTTTAATGAAACAAAAACATTGTTTTATGAAACTATTTATGTTATTGTTACATGGTTTCAGAATTCTTCAGTTACCATTATCATCATCATTACATTTGTTATTTTATAAACATACCTATCAGTAAACTAACACTGTATTTACTTTCATTTGGATTAAGAAGTATGTATCGCAAGATGTAAAGAGAGTAACTTTTGCTTATTTTGTCTCTTGTGTATATATTTTACTGTGCACTGGTGCTTTTCTGATTTTTCTAGAAATCCATCTGTAGTGCATGCTGTACATAATTAAGTATCTCTAAAACAATTGCATGTGGATTGAAGATACTCATTGTGTACAAAAGTTTGTTAAGAGATTATATTTTGTACAAAGATTGCATGTACATTAGTTACATAAATGTGTAATTGCCAAATCAAAATTTCTGTTACTTCTGATGGTGTGTATTTTTCATGTTTCATACTGATAGCTCAATGATGATGAACATTCCTGCCAGTGTTGGGGAAAAAATCTGTGATGGCAATTTGCAAAGCTATATTGCGCAAACACCATGTTTTCTTTTCTTGTACATAATAGAATCTAGGAATGTCTGCTTAAGTTATGAATGACAGAAATAGAAGAAATGGAGCATACATATGTATATGAAATGATACAATGTTTGATAGATACTCTTGGCCCACCCAAATGTGTTAGGAAGATGATATGAAAGTCAGTCCAGTATCTTTGTACTTTTGTCTGCTCATTTTTGTGTGTTTATCATTTGTGAGCTATAGCTGAATATGGATCAGAATATGTAGAATTGATATGACTGGCATTTTTATAAACATACATTTATGGAGTTAAGTATTGCATGTACATTGTGTTGTAGAAAGAGATTGAAGTGATTCAGTGAGTTCCCTGCTTCTCATAAAATTCAGTATTTTAGTGCTGGTCTGTTTTCTTCACAGTCTTATTTGTTGTGGTAGCTTTTTGTACATTGTATCATCTTGCCTTTATTATTGAATTAACTACCATACATGACATACTAGTATGCATAATTTTTGATTTGCAGTAAGTTCCATGGGTTCCTGAGTATTGTTTCATTCATAGGTGTGTGGGTTGGGTTATGCATGATGCCAGATCTTGCACGATTTTTAATTTCAAATATGAACTGAAATAACTGAGGACAAATATTCTTTGGATCAGGTGGGTGGGGACATGTAGCATGCATGGGAGAGATGAGAAATGCATACATTTCAGTTAGGAAACTGGAGAGAAGTTGCCACTAAGGAGACCTAGGAGCAGGTGGAAGTGTAATATTAAAATGTATCTTAGAGAAGTAGGTTGTAACAGTGTTCCCTGGATCTGTCTGACTCAGGATAGGGATACATTTCAAACTCTTGAACACAGTAATGAACATTTGGGTTCTATTAAAGATGGGAAATTGACTGACAGTGACTTTGCTGCTTAAGAAGTACTCTGCCCCATGGTGTTTAATTACACAGAATTACCACATCTCCAACAGTAACCTCATGTTATGCGTTTACAGGTAAAGCTGCACATGCAATTTGTTATTCATACATGATGTAGTCAAACCTTGGAAAGGTCCAAGAAGGTGCATATAAAAATAATTTCCTTTAATGCATTTAGATCCGGGTGTAACACTGCAAGTTCCTTTTGTGTTCTAGTTTTGTTTAAAAAAATAATATTGTTGTATTGTACTTTAATAAGTATTCTGTTATCATTTAACTGCATTAATTATTTTACTATTCCATATTGCAGATGTATTTCAATTATACTGAATTGTCATTAGTCATACAGTTTGCATGTCAGTTACCCTATTACATTTTCTTAATTAGATGTTACAAGAGTTGTGAATTTTTAAACTCATGGAAGGTATTTAATATTTTAAAACATGTAATTAAGGAAGAGTAAGAAGGTAATATTATTAAACTGCACTAGCATTCTATTTAGTAGATAATGAAGCACCTTACCCAAGGTTTAGTCAGATCAGAACCATTTACTGTGGTGCTTAAGCAGAAGGGATGTATTATTATGTGGGAATGCAGCACTTGGTAAAATACTACCGTAATTACAGATTTTTGTTATTAACCTACATTTCTACAAAATAATTTAACTTGAGTGAAGTGGTAACACTTCTGAATAGCATTTTGGAGGACCCCAGTTAATATCTCAGCAAGGACACTGAAGTTTGTCATTAGATTGCTGTCTTCTGGGTTATGGCACCATGTAGTCTGGATGAAGGAGGCAACAAGGACCTATGAAACGTTGGTTAAAGTTCTACCAGACTGCATGGTGCTACAACCCAGAAGAGAGCTAAATACTACTGAAGTTGCCATTGCTTTTTCTCAGCCACTTCTTATTACTCCCAGGACAGTACCTTAGAATAAATGTTAACCATACTATCATGTTCACCAGGCATTACCATCTTCTCAAGTCATTTGACACTAAGCATCCACTGTAGTTTATACAGTGTCATTATGTAAGATACAATAGATTTCCTTTTCTCACCTTGCTTAACTCTGCTCATTGGGAAGACCATAACCTGCAGATTTTTACTATTAAGCTGACCAAAGGGAAGGAGTGATAGTGATTTGGTTGGTTATAGATATAACACAAATTACACACAACAGTTAGCTTTGTGCAGTTTAGTATAGACCTTGACATACATTACAATATGAAAAAAGATTCACATCATTTTCTCTTGAAAGGGAAATAATTCAGTTTATTTGAAATTTATTTACTGTGCCTGAATGTGTCATTTGTGATTGCTTATTCTTAATTTGTGGGTTAATTATCAGTTCAGAAATCTAAATAATTAATTTATAAATAACTGCATATGTGCATGAAATCTGTGTAGCCATTGGAGTCTCTATCTCTTTTCTTCTTCTTCCATTCACCTCACACATTGTTAATTTTAATCAGTATTATTAATGTTATGACTTGCCATTTGTACTTCACATGCCAGCATTAGCTGACCTTGTATATATGATTAACAATTTACACAGTGTGCCTGTATATGTCTTCCTATTTCTGCAAAACAGTATATTGCAACATACAAGGACACCCTTACACTGCAGCATCAAGGTTACTAGTTTATGGTGAATGTAAATAAAAAAACACCAGTTTGTCTTTTTAATACTGTTTGTATTGTGACATTTTCTGCCTTTTTTCTTTTTCTTCTTCTTCCCCCAGTTGAATGGAATTATACATAGTATATATGAATGGAGAAAGCATCCTTCCTTTGCCCGTGCATTTCTGAAAATGAATTATACTGAAATTGCTTATTTATTATAACAGTCTTATAAATATACATTTTAATTGACCAGTTTTCTAGTGGTTACTGCATTAATACCTCATTCTGATTGATTTATGAATTAGATGATTTCCAAGCAACAAAAATAGAGGTGAACACAGATTTCTTTTGCATTCAAAGCATGTTGTACTATCCTAGAAACCACATCCAGGATGGAAAGAAAAATGGATAATATAAATGTGATTGGATTTTATAAAAGGATTTATAATTATGCCAGCACTAAGTATTGTTACATGTTACAGCAGTTATTTTTATTTTATGTTCCTTCTGAAACTGGCTGCCAGCCTACTGGTTAGATCAACAAGCTGCAAAATACTTGTGTTATTAGCTAATTATATTTTTAAAATTTTTATGGAAATGTGGAGAGGTTATTTTTATGGCAGGTGTATACTTGTTGGCATACAGTCATCTTCCCGCAGCTGTGAAGATGCTGTGATCCACAGAAGATGGAATTCACACACATTCTGTCACAGATTTTTAAGATGTTTTGAAAAATTATAATTTTATTTATTACTTGGAATACAAAACATTTTGTGTAATTTCTTATAGAAACATTAGTAAAAGCTTTTTGTACTGTTATCACAGTTACCACTTCTGTTTTATATCCTTGAGGCTCTGGGTTTGAATCTTGGTCAGGAGACAAACTCTCCTGACTGATGTTTTGCATGGTTTTCTTCTGTCCCTCCATGAGCATTTTAAAATACACTGCAGGCACTTACACATCATTCCTGAATCATAATTCACATTCATCCTGTAATTCAGTGTAATTATATAACCCACACAGTTAAGAAAGCATATTAAATGATGTTTCATTTATTGATGATCATGGCAGTATGATTTAGGTGTTTAAATTCAGACTTAATCAGATCTGTTTTATGATAAGTATTCATTTTTATTGCAGTGTAATTGTATGATTTATCTCTCTGCATCTCAGGTATAACCATCTTGTAAATCTAAGCAGGAATCAGAAATTTTGCAGTACCTTTAGCAGGAGAAGTCACCATGTGTTTTTTTTGCAGTACCTTAAGTGCTACTTAATTATTCTGCAAAGGCCAAAGGAGTTGAACAAATGAGATATGTTTATTGTAGTGTGGTGTAGCCCTTAAGGATGCATCTGTAAGGAGTACATTCACTTAGCAGACGAAACAGCATACTGAAGTAACAAATTGCAACTGTGGAAACATGCACTGTATTTATAAATTTAGGTGAGAATAAAGGACACCATAATTAACAACAACTTAACACTAGCATGATATTATTTAAGGGATTTGTTTTAGAAGCATCAAGAACGTATACACAAATGCTCCCATTCAACGTATAGTACAGAAACTATGTAAATTAAAATGAAGCACAGTTGAATACTGTAAAGATGTGAACCATGCAAGTCTGTTAAATCATAATGAAATACAAGATTTTTGGAGCTATACTTCTGTGTAAAGTTATATGTATTGTTGTGTGATAATTGGCAAAATAAGTGCCTATTCTTAGTATCTCTCAAGCTATTGTATATGTCCATTGTAGTAGTTATAATTCAGATGCTTTCCGTAACATTTTACAGACATTACAATACACTGATTTATATGTAAAACATTTTTAAATGATTCATGTATGAAGTGTATAATGCACCAGTACTGTATAAGCATAAAAATTTAGTGCTGCTTTCTGTATGTTACACTGCAAGGTACATGTTTACCTCTTGAAAACTGCTTCTTCCTTCAGTAAAAGTTTGTAGTTTATTATCAGTTTTTATTTTCAATATTTGACCATGATCTCAAGATTTAATGTTTGATTCTGCAGTAATATATTAAAGTACATTTAGATACACTGTTATATAATAACCATGATTTTCAAGCATGATACTTTTGTTTGAATTGTGTTATACTCATTCTTTTCTAAGAACTTGAATAGAATTAATTTTTTGTAGATGCTAATTTCTTAAAGCTTGTGAGCACTTTGGCTGCAGATCCATACATGTAGGAGGAACAGTTGAACATGATAATATGAGAACAAAGTATTTTTTTAAAAATCTAGAGTGCTGTTACAAATTATATTTAGTGTACAGTAATAACATTAAGGATATATATATATATACACATACATAACTAAATATATGGGTTCCTTATTTGATGTGGAATAAATATGCACATTTTATTGCTGGCACTGTGAATTTGTATTGTATTTCAGTTACTCAGTAATTAGGAATGCAGTCTATGGTTGCATTGCATGGAGTGCAGCCCTTAATACATTTCCATATTTTTTTTAAAACAGGCATCATATTTTGTTCATTAGTTCAGAGGACAAGGTTTATGTTGTCTGAAATGGAACTGATCTTTATCCTAAGGCTGTGGAAGGAAATCCCATGGGTCAACCTCCATGAGATCTCCCTCTTGCTCTTTGTTACCTCCCACTTTCTTCCAGCTGTCTTGCTATTCTGTTTGTGTTATTGGTAGTGATTGCTGTTACTGATGTCTAGCGCCTCAGAGTTCCAGTCATCGTCAGATGGACTTTTTCGTATGACCTCAATGTAGTAACGTATGTAGATTTGAGTTCACTTTCAGGGACTCTGACATTTGGAATGAGAGACACTTCACTGCAAGGTGAGTGGTACTGTAAGGCCGGGTGCACACGAGCGGGAAAATGCCGCGCGTGCTCGCAGCGAGGAAACCCGTGATAGTGCACACGTAGCGTCATCGCTGCGAGCTCGCCGAAAAACTCTCACCAGTACTAGATTGGATGGCAACCAAAATGGATGTGTACAGAAGAAAACGTGTAGTTTTGCCTATTTCGTTTATGAATACATCCTTAAAAAACGCAATAGGAAGTACTGGACACACCCGTTGGTTAGATCACGGCTGTTAAAAGGGGCGTTCGTGACTGTTTACAGATTTAAGAGAAGATGAAAGTAAATTTCATAATTATTTTCGTATGAGCTTAAAGTCGTTAGATGAGCTATTTCCTCCATGACGGGAAGGCGGTAGCTGTTGCGAGGATTGCGAACCACGTGTGCACTGCCCAATGCTCTCACACAGTCTGCGGCGATCGGCGAACTCGCTGCGAAGCAGCAGTGGTTGGCGAGCGCAAATTGCTCGCGGCGTCACCGCCATAGTGTGCGTTGCTCCACTGCTTCACATGTACTGCTAAAACGCGCGAGAAAATGACGCGGCGAGCTCGCGAAAATAACTCGCTCGTGTGCATCGAAATGTTCGTTGCTTTGCCTCGCAAAGTCGATCCCATGTTGCCACGTGTGGCAGAACGAACACTGCCGCGCTCGAACTTGGCGCGCGTCGAGCCAAATCGGAGCGGTTCTTTGTCCCGCGGCAAAGGAATTTCAGCGTGCTGTGCTCTCTAAGTTAAGACGGTCTTGTGGCGTTCCGTCGTAGCAAAATGGAGAATGAAAAGTGTGTAGCTCTCATACAGATTTATAAATCTAAAGAGGTGTTGTGGAATTCAAAAATTTTTAATTACCATAACAAAAGTAAACTCTTGGCTCGATCAATGAGGTTATGTGTTCGAAATCCGATAATGACGTTCGAGTAAAATTTTTAACTGTATCCTCCACTAATTCAAATGTCATATCTCGCATAAGTCTATTTCCATATTGCATTCGCTGATGATACAGTCCCTTAATCCACCAACGCACTTTTCGTTTCGGTTTCCTATTTTCTTCCATAATGTTGAACATCAACATAAAGGCAGCCGTTGCACGTGCTGTATTCGTGGTGATCTTGCGAGAACTGACGAACAGCGTCGATCAACAGCCGAACACGGCTGCCGCGCTCGATGCTAGTAACCACTAACACGGTTTTGAACAATAAACGAACAAACGAGTTTGCCGCGCACAAATAGTCGATACACGGCTTGTTTTGTTTAGTGTTCTGTCTGACGACAGGTCCATATGAACAGGATCCTTCCATCCTTTTCTCGGACTGGGACCTGTTCATATACGTTCTTGGCAGATGATCCAGAAGTGGTTTGACATTGC